TTAAAAAAAAAAAAAAGACCCATCAAAAAAGGATCCAAAACTGTGTTCTCCTATCCTGTCCCTTACCTTTCTAGTCTTCTCTTCCAGATTCCGTAAGGTGAAGGACGTGTACATATGAGATTGTTCAGAAGGGTAGTTCCACTGGGTGGTAACAGGAAGGCCTTGGCAGGGGAGGCATTGTGCTGGATTAGGGAGAGTTTGGGTGCCTAGGAGAGGGCTGCTTGTCACTTCAGAGAGTAGGTGGACTTGGAGATGTGTTGGCATCATGCTGCAGAAGTCCCCTGGGACCCAGTGGAACGGGGGAAAGCCAAAGAACACAGACTGTCCTGTTTTAGGGCTCTGTACAGGCTCGAGGACCCACCCACACACTGGAGGCATCCAGCATGCACAGCCCCTCTCTCCTGGCAAGATGGTTTGTGCCCCCAAGGTAGAGCATTAGGGTAAGGAGTACTGATTTTAAATGGTGGTTTCCTTAAAGGCTCCCAGGAGTACAGAGTTCCTTATTCCTCTGTTCCCATTTTTGTCTGGCAAGGGGCTAATGATGAAAACTCCCAGCAGGGAAATAGAAAGTTTGATAAATCAGGGCTTCAGATGCTCAGCAGAGAGCTGAGCCTCACGTACAGACCTGCTGAGATCTATGGACTCTGGGACCATATTTTGGCAAGACCTCCTTCTCTGGGGAGATGATGGAGCCTGGGCTGGGGGATCCATACTCCAGTCTCAAGTGCATCTTCTTGCTTCTGTGAAGACTATGCCAGTGACTCTGATACCCATGGGTCCACCTCTCAGCCAGCCCTTGACTTGGTATCATGGGCCTGCATCACATCTAGTGAGGATACAGCTTTCCTTACCCCACCCATGGTGGGGTCACTGTCTTCATTTCTAGACTTCATTATCAATTTTACACATGAATCTAGTGTCATCTGTCAACATACCCAAGGGAAGTATGAATTGTAATTATCTTCTGAATAGCCCATATTTTTAACACTCCTACATTATAAAAAATATTATCCAATATGGTCAGAGAAACAGTTCTGATCAAGCAGATGTTTTTGCCAATAGAAAGCAATTTTAAAAAAAAAGAACATATTAAACATTTTAAACAAAAACTCTACAGAAGTGATGATTTCCAAACTACCAGCAATATCTTTACATTTATAAAGAGGAAGTGTCAGCTTTAGAATGTCCCCCTTCAAATAAGATTAATGAAAAACCACAGTTCTGGTCATCTCTGATCAGGCTGTCACATGCTTGGAGAACTCCAGGCAGAAATGGAATCAGTGGAAGTTGCAGCTAGCTGAATACTATATAATGTTTATTATCTATAAATTCTTGTTACAAATACCACATTTTGTGAAACAAATTGTAAATGTTCAAATTTTTTTCTAATATTCAGTGATTTTTAAAAATAAGCATTCACCATTAAAGCATCTTTTTCTTTCCCAGTTAAAATTCTACACTATTTTATCTCAGCAATTTGGGTGCTTTACGGAAAAATAACAGTCAAGTAACAAATCCATCTCTCAGTTTAGTCAGAGGAGGTTACCTGAGTCAATAGGGTATTTAGTCAAGGGGGAAAGAAAAAGATGATAAGTAAAGATGGCACGTGACAAGGCTCAGCTGCAATTTTACTCCATCAGGAAGAAAATATCTCTCGCTCCCCCCCCCCCCGCTCTGCCAAAGATGAGGCCAACAACAATGATGTGTCTAAGGCAAAAGATCGGCCAGGGGAGGGGGGTGGTGTAGCACGGAGAAGGCCTCTGGACACTCAAGTCAGGCTGCACAGGGTCCTAGCCACTTACTGGCTGAGCAACCCCAAGCATGTTCCTTTAGCCATCTGTAAATTGAGGATAAGGATAATTTGTTGTGAGAATCAAATGAGATTAACACCCTGGCACAGTATGTGACACACAGGAAGTGCTCAAGAAGTGTGATCTATGAGAGAATGTTAGATATAAGGCAAACATTAGCTCCAAAGGACAGTTCAGGAGAGCACTTCCTTGTGAGCAAGGACCAGAGTAAATTACAGTAAGGACAGAGTAAAACGAACATCTAGTATTCCAGTGAGGAGATGGAATTATGACAGGGAGTCAACGATTGGCTAGCGAAGCCTCGTCTACAGTTGATTTATTAGTATTATCATTATTCATTGGCTTTCATCTAAATTCTCAACCACCTATGGCCACAGCTAGTTAATTTTTGTTTTAAAAAGTTTACATCCTATTTCTTAGTTGTAAGAGTCCTTGTTCACACTTTTTTACTATCTTGGTTTACATAATCCTAAAGGACTAAGCTTCTTGCAAAACTGTAAGGCAGACTTTTCATTCAGCCCACAGAACCCAGCTGGATCTTACTTCTAACCCTCACCAGCCCTGCTCCTTGTCCCCCCAGTGTTACCCACCAGGTGTCCAAATAATTAGTGCCCCTCCATGAGGCAAGTCACATTCCGTGATAAGGATAGGACTCCTTGCTCAGCAATCTCAATGGGAAGAACACCTGAAGTTTGCAGAAAGTTTACCAACTGTGTACATTTTGAAGGCGGATATCGCAAGTCCACATTTTGATGCACTCATGACCCACTCGATGCCAGGCACTTATCTGGTATTTTCAGATTCACTATACCATTTAATCCTCAGATCAACCCAATGAATCCCAATCACTATCCCCATATTTAAAATGAACATGTTGATACAGAGGGATGATAAAACATGCCCCAGGTCACACATCTAGGAATTGGCAGGCCAGAAGAGTTCATCAACAAAATACACTTCCACTGTACATGTCCCATACCATTTTGACCCTCCGTGACCCATTATCCACAGAAAATGCCCAAGATGGATGCTGCACTTCCAACCTAGGGGGATGATGGGAGGCAATAGTAAGAGGAGTTCTGACTCCCCTCCTTGGCAGATACCCAATCTTAGGCAATTTAATAAACCTCTCTAAGCCTCTGCTATGTCCTCTTAAAACAGGGATCATAACAATACTGACTCTGGAGGGTGTTTGTGAGGGTTAAATAAGATAATGACTGGGAAATACTGAGCACATTGAAGAGCTCTATCAGAGCCATTATGATTCTGCACACTGGGTGGCAGGGCTCCTTGCTAGATTTGGGAAGGTGCACCAGACAGGCTGATGCTACCAAGTCAAGACATCAAGACTTAAGGACTTAAAATGTTCCAATTAGATATCCAGGCCATATCATGGTTCTATCACCCTGAGCTTTTGACCCTCCCCACACTAGTGCCATGGACACACTGAGTACCCACTTTTCCATTATTGCTCTATTACCAAAGCCCAGCCTCTGCTTATCCTGAGGAGTGGCCCCCCCTACTCATCCTCGCCCTTTATTTAGCACACAAAGCTGCAGTTAGGGCTAGCAGTTAAAGAACCCAGTACTGGAATCCAGAAGAAAGGACAAAGGCAGCCCACAGATGCTAGGGCAGACTCAATTCCAGCCATTTCTTAGGAAAGAACAAAAGTCAACAGCACAGGCATTCACTCTAGAATACCAGGCCTGCTCCTCAGGTGGGTTCCTGCCTCCCTGGGATATGTGAACCCACAGAATAAATGTGACCCAACTAACTGCCAGAGAATTGGCTCTACCTACAGATTTGGGAATGTAATTAAATTAGTAAAGTGCTAATCTAAAATTTCAATTTTAGATTAAAAAATATATTATGGAATAGAATGCACAATTTACATTAATTTAAAATAATAGGATTTTTAAAAATCATATTTATGGAGGTCCGATTCGGGTAGGACCCCATACCTCTAGGTCTTTTTCATGCTCACTTTCTTATGCCCTTTAAGGAGAATATAATGGGGAAGTTGTCAGTTTGTTTTTTTTTTTAATGGCACTCTTTAATGAAATTAAACCCATTTCTGCTGACAAAGTCCTATCCAGGACCTTAAAATCACATAAACTCATGTCTTGGAAGATGCAAGAATTTTGCTAACGGTTCCTCTTAATATTTAATCAAAGGGAAAGTTTTAAAAAGACATCCATCCTTAGATGGGTAATTGACCAATTTAAATATTTTATGAAATCACATTTTCACATAAAGTTGACAGTTTTCAATTCTGTATTACAGGATCTTGTCAACAGTTTTATTACAGCTGTGTTCCTTTTAATAGTTGCCATCTTGGCGATGCAAGAAATGGAAAGAAGGCACTTATTCTATGTTGGAGGGGTAAGTCGAAAACTTCGTGACCCCCTTTAAGATTAGTATTTCAGGGGAACCTGGGTGGCTCAGTCAGTTAAGGGTCCAACTCTTGGTTTCGGGTCAAGTTGTGATCTCAGGGTCATGGGATCGAGCCCCACATCAGTCTCAGTGCTTGGCGCAGAGTCGGCTTGAGATTCTCTTCCTCTCCCTCTGCCCCTCCCACTTGCTCTCTCTCTCTCAAATAAATAAATAAATCTTTTTTTAAAAAATCAGTATTTCAAAACTCTTTTCAAAGGGAAACTAGCAGACCATCATTAAGATGTAAAGTTGCATAAACTCTAAACTCATGAAAATCTTCATTCTAATACTCATTCGCCAAATAGGTACAAACTCCCCTTTCGAGAAATGTACACACTATTTTTTGAAATGTTGCAACAAGGTGTTCTTGTCCATAAACAGGATTTTGACTCTTCTGGACTAGAGATTTATATTTTAAAAGCACATGGAAAAAAAAGCACATGAATAGGAAAAAAAAAAAGTACATTGTCAAAAGTGAATGGCCCAGTAGGAAGGAAGGAAGAAAAGGAAGGAAGCTCCCAGCATGTGCCACACACATGGCCAGGCATGTTCTGACTTAATTTTTACAATTCTCATTTTTACAGATACGAGAACTGAGGTTAAATACTTTGCCCTGGCTCACAAGCCTGGGACAAGCTCATCATATGAAGAGCACAAGAAATGGCAGATTAAATGCTTTGAAGATGGAGGGTGGGAAGTGGGGAGATGAGACTTTGGTTCAAGAAGTTAAGCAATGGGAACAAAAATTAATCCAAAAAAAAAAAGTTTGACTTCTTTGAAATCAGTAAATATTTGTCAATCCCATTGGATTGTGCCAGGCCCAGGCTTAGTGTTGGGGATAAAGTCCCTTATCCCTGTAGGAGCCCACAGATTAGCTGGGGCAAGACCTACCTAGGGAAAGTTCATTCAAGCATCCAGGGATTAAGTGATGGTGAAGAGAAACATCCAGAGCCAGCAGGATTTGGGAGGCACCTAGAATCTTGGGTGCTATGCACTGCTGGTCCCCATCTGCTAACTCAGACACCAAGCCTTCTCCTACCTGCCAGGGGCTCCCACCATCTGGACCCCATCAATTCTTACTTGGATGACAGGAGCCCCCACCACACCCCACTGGTGTCCCTGCCTCCTCCAGTCCTTTTCACCTCATGGCTTACTGCAAGTGGGCTTTCTGACTCTGGCACCTGATCTCTCCTTTCAATAAAGTCCCAAATTCTGCACTTCCTAGCCTCAACTCTGCCCCCTCCCTCACCAGCTCCAGAGGTCTCAGCCACACCACACTCCTTGGAGACCCCTGTCCACGATCTGAAGTTTTCTCTCTCCCAGTTGGTCCCGTTGGGAACTCCTTCCTGCCCTTTTCAAACAAAGCCCAGGAGTCCTTTCTACTGAAGGGCCTTCTCAGGACCTCATACCTATCTGGAGCCTCCTATAGCCAATACTCTTCTCTGGTCCTTTCCTGGTGCCTCAGGCATCTGGCAAGGTCATTACTGGCAGCAAAACCCACCATTTCCAAAATCCCTTGCTCTGCGAATCGCAGAATGTGCCACAGCTGTCAGCTAGGCAGACACCAAATAGGCAGTGCTGGGTCAGAAAGGGACAAGCGGCCACCTGCAGCCCCCTCTCCCCTGGGATGGGATAGGGAAGACAGGTTGCGGCTGAGCTGCAGAATAACCCGGGCTTTCCTTCCCGTGTCTTGTGTCTGACAGACCCAGTGTCTCACAGCGGCAATCGTGTGTATCCTGGATGGGATTATGGTCACCAAGAAGATAACGGATAAAATGAGAAGAATGCTGGGACTCGAATATGAAAGCAGTTCCTCCCTGCTCCTGGAACCCAAGAGGTCAGGACCCACGCCGGCGCCCGGGAAAGCGGGCACGCCGGGATCCTCCAAACCACCCACCCCGGCAGCCTCGAAACCACCCGTGGCGGCACCTGCGAAAGCACCCACACAGGCCCCCACCTCGGCTGCCAGGCGCACCTCCTCCCGGGGATCCTCGAAGACATCCACGATGCCATCCTCACGGGCATCCTCGCTGCCACCCTCGCAGACAGGAGCGTCTGTGCCTCGTCCCTCCCGCTAATCCCCCCACTGAGCTTGCATGCTGTCACCTATCCCGGCCCACATGCGATCATAAAATCAGGGCTGCTAAATCGGGAACATTTCTGCTTCCTCGTGTTGCCTTGCGTAAAAGTCGAGCTACCTTTTTTCGCGGCCGCTGCGCCTGGCGCGGCGCGGGACGACGCTGCCCCAGGGAGCCGTGGCCAGGGCCTTGACCCCGCGGGGGTTCCCGCCCACGCGACCGGCCCACGGCTG